CGTCAACCACCAGCAGGAAGTACCGCTCGCGCCCGTGCCCACCGACGCGGGCGGGGCCCCACACGTCCATTTTGAGAGTCTGCAGCGGAGCCTCTGTCAGAGGAAACTCGGAGGAGTGAGGGGTGGCGCGCTGTCGCCCCTCGGCGCAGGGGACGCAGGTAGGGCCAGGCCCCGGAGGTAGGGGAGGGAGAGACCGAGGGAGACCAGAGACAAGGACACGGGAGGCCATGCCTCGGAGACGAGGCAGGGAGGGGTGACCAAGGCGGTGGTGCCAAAGGAGAGTCTGGTGGGACAGTAGACGACACGAGTAGGGAGCAGACTCAGGACCAGACCTGGACGCTGCAGCAAACACCTGACTCGACGCAGCTACCTGGGCAGACTCAGCAGCCGGAGGAGACTCAGTAGTAAGGGTGTACAGGCTCGACCCCCGCCGACGGGTGAACGTGGCCAAGTGTCGGCCTGTTCGAGCACACGTGCAGTGGGTCACTCGCTGACTCGCAGGAGTGAACTGGTCAACCCCCCTATCCTGTAGGTCCGCTCCACTCACCAAGTTCGTAGAAAACGAGGGGAGGTAGAGACCTGACAGGGTGCCAGAGGGGGCTACCGGGCACGGTAAGACAGTAGAGAAGCTAGCAAGGACAGGACCCCCAGAGGGGTCCGCCAGGGAGACTGCAACCGGCCGACTGAGCGGCGTAAGAGTGGTGCGGTCTCGAAAGAAGGAGCGGGACGCACCCGAGTCAAGGGTGAAGGTGTGGAAGGCCTGAGCCGACGTAGTACCTGAGAGAGCAGACTCACCAGCACCTGGGGCAGCAGACGCACTGGCACCTGGGGTAGCAGACGCACTAGCACCTAGAGCAGCAGCCTCACCAGCACCTAGAGCAGTGGCCTCAATGCCCGGGTCAGGCGGTACACACAGGTAACAGTCACCCTCAACACTAGTAGTCACAGAATACATGGCAGCAAGGATAGCATCATAGTCAAGATCAAAGATGGCAACCCCCGCCCTACACAGATCTCCCCAGCGAGGGATCTCTGACGCCTCAGGGAACTGGCGACGTCACGCGTCCGTCAGGCGACCGAAGCAGCGCTGGGTGGAGTGCGGGCCCCCGCACTGCTCACCAGCTCGGTCGCGGGTATGAAGACGTAAGAGCAGGGACCAGTACCCCCACCGCGCTGACGCGTAGTGTACCACTCACGAAGCTGCTGAGGGGACAGGGTCACACTACTCCGCTGCTGCTGGCGCGGACTACCACCTGAGCCACTCCTCTGCGCAGAGTCGCGATCCGCTCCACCGCCGCCTCCGCCGCCTCCTCCACCTCCGCCTCCTCCGCCACCTCCGCCGCCTCCGCTCCCTCCGCCACCACCGCCGCCTCCTCCGCCTCCACTGCTGCTGCCGCCGCCACCACCCCCGGCACCACTCCCACCACCACCCCCACCCCCTCCACTGCCTCCACCACCACCTCCACCGCCCTCGCCAGCCCCTCCAGCGCCCTTGCCCCCCTTGCCCTTGCCGGTGCGGCGTCTCCCGCTCGGGGCAGACGCAGCGCCGACCGACTCGAAACCAACGAGGTCGGCCGCAGCGGCAGAGGCAACAGAGGGCAAGAGGGGGGAGGGGGAACACCCCTCAAAGACGGGGGTGCGAGGGTCACCACGAGAGGCTCCTACAGCGACTATGCTCTTCTCTGCTGCTAGGAGAGCCTTCTCGAGGAGGTCAACGGTGAGAGTGGTGGGGCAAACTGAGAGGAAGTGGTCCCTGACTACGCGGAGAGAGTCAGGGAGCCGGGTGACTATGTAGTAGAGGGTGATGTACAGGGGGGGGGGGGGGGTTCTTGGCGCAGAACTCAGCAGGAAGCGCAGAGCGGTAGCGAGTGTCACTAGTGCGGAGGTGCGTAATGAGGTCAGCGACTGTGGGAAAGGCAGCAAGGTCAGGGAAGAGGTACGGTAGCGTGAGGCGGCTCAGTGCAGCAGTGGCAGGGGAAGAGTAGCGTGCAACTACAGCGTCGTACAAGGTCTGAGCACTCTTGTACTGGCTAAAGTGTTGACGCTCAGTGGTCGGTAAGTGGCGGCGCACAGCACGGCGAGCAGCAGCATCGCGCGTGGCCCACTGTGAGCAAACAGTGGCGTCAACATCAGCAGTAGGGGCAGGAGAGGCACCAGAAGTGAGGTCAAACAGGGAGAGACCGTCTGCCCTATCGCACTGTAGGAAAAGCTGCAGATCATCTACCCAAACCTCAAAGTCAACTGCCCGACCCTCAACGTCAAAGGTGAGAACACTAGGGGTGGCCATGACAGCAGTAGACAGGCAGTAAGTACACTGGGGTAGGGCAGTGCAGTGGCAGAGGCGCTGCTCTTACCAGGTAAGTGAGGCGGACCCGGGCAGGCTGACAGGCGGCGGTGACTCGGCTGCAGTGCGGCTCAGCGGCTCGGCGGCTCGGCGGCGAAACGCGGCTCGGCGGCTTGGCGGCAAAGGCGGCTCGGCGGCTCGGCAGCACAGGCGGCTCGGCGGCTCAGCGGCTCGGTGGCTCGGCGGCGCAGCGGCTCGGCAACTCGGCAGCAAAGGCGGCTCGGCGTGGCCGCTGAAGGGCGGCGACGGGGCCGCTGAAAGGGCGGCGACGGGGCCGCTGGTAGGGGCGGCGACGGGGCCGCTGAAAGGGCGGCGACAGGGCCGCGGAAGGGCGGCGACGAGGCCGCTGAAAGGCGGCAACGGGGCCGCTGAAGGGCGGCGACGGGGCCGCTGAAAGGGGGGCGACGGGGCCGCAGAAGGGCGGCGACGGGGCCGCTGAAAGGCGGTGACGGGGCCGCTGAAGGGCGGCGACGGGGCCGCTGAAAGGGCGGCGACGGGGCCGCGGAAGGGCGGCGACAGGGCCGCTGAAAGGGCGGCGACAAGGCCGCGGAAGGGGTGGGCGACGACGGGGCTGCTGAAAGGGCGGCGACGGGGCCGCGGAAGGGCGGCAACGGGGCCGCTGAAGGGTGGCGACGGGGCCGCAGTTAGGGGCGGCGACGGGGCCGCTGAAAGGGCGGCGACAGGGCCGCCTAAGGGCGGCGTCGGGGCCGTAGTAAGGGGCGGCGACGGGGCCGCTTAAAGGGCGGCGCGACGGAGCCGCATGGGCGGCGCGTCGGGGCCGCAAGGGCAGCGCGACGGGGCCGTTAGGGGCCGTAAGAGGGGCCGTTAGGGGCCATAAGAGGGGGAACGACACGGGGCGCGACTCGGGCAGGGGCCAAGCGCGCTCCGGGCAGGAAAAAAAAGATCGGTGGGCCCTAGGAACAGTTCCCACGAGGGAACCAGCTCTATACCATGTGAAGTTTAGAACGAGAGAATGGTTGAGCTATGAAACCGTTGGGTACAAGTGCTAACCCTAATTGGGTTGTACCCCTTATGGGCTACCCCACTACAGCCTACACAGATGTATAAGCAATAATGGTCTGACACAAATGCTATCGGAGTCGGGGCATTTTTATTTTAAAAGCTCGCACCGATTGGCTTTGCAGCCCACCAGCCTATCACGCCACGTGATACCTCGGCTTCCAGGTCTCAGCTTCGTCGCTGCACTGTCAACTCGTCTAGATGCCCGGGTCAGGAGAGACCAGTAAACTACCGTTGTTGTCCTCGCAGCTTCCCGGATTTTTCGCGTATCCTTCACCCAGCCCGATTTTGTCGAAGTGGAACAGTGCCGCGGACTCCCCTATTTTTGGTCTTTCCGTGCACGTGTCGAACGAGCACCAATCCAGGTGCCCTTGACCAGCACAGGGTAGGCACGTGTTCACCCCCATTATCATCCGAATCAGGTCGACTGTATGAGTCAGAACCAGTAATCGGTGGGGATGGTGAGGTTCGAACGAAGTAGGGTCGCAGATCGGTTCCACTGGCATTCAATCTGCTCCCCACGACGTTCTGTCAGTAGAGCTACACTGTGAGATCCCCGATCGATCCTAGGGGGGGTTACAGGCGCGTTTGCCTGGGGGGTTATGGGCGCACTGACCCGCTACTGAAACAAGCCCTTTTATCCCAATGGTCTAGTGGTTGGGATTCTGACATGGTATCAGAGCGGTCTTGGGTTCGAATCCCGGTGTATGCACATGTTGGCCATTGCCACTGTGCTTAGTCTTGGGCCTCCCAGTGTGGGGGGGTGTCAGTAGAGCTACACTGTGAGATCCTCGATCGATCCTAGAGGGGGTTACAGGCGCGTTTGCTTGGGGGGTTATGGGCGCACTGACCCGCTACTGAAACAAGCCCTTTTATCCCAATGGTCTAGTGGTTGGGATTCTGACACGTTCTTCAACCCCGGCTTAGTCGTCGTCGGGCAGTTTCTTCTCGTGTGTCCCGGCGGCCTGTGCCACAGTCCTCCGAAATTGTCGGGGTGGTACGTTGAACACCGTTTAATCGCGGGCTGTTGCGGCTGTCCTCGAAGACGACTTCACGGGACGGGGAAACCAATCTAAAACTGTCAAACGTCTGGCAAAAGCTCCAGGCACGAAGCGTCAAACGAGTATTTTTCCGGTGTCCAGGCCCGAATTGCCCTCGCCGCCTGCGCCCACTCCATTGAGTGCGATTTAGCCACACTGTTGTTTGTTGCAGCCTATGAGGATCTAGGATCGAGCTCAGAAAAAAAAAATTTGTAATTGAATGATTCACCTGGGTGCAACAGGAGGCTATTTATAGGCTCGACACAAGGCAGGTAACCCGGATGTTGCGCGAATGTTATGAGGGCCGCGAAGCGTCCCGAACAGAACCTTCCCGAACTCAGTAGAAAGCAATTCGGTGGAGACCGAATAGGCTTGAGTTCGGTACACGTAACCTGGTTCGGTGCTATAACTATAATAAAATATAGGAATGCACCTAACCTAAGAAATCAAGCATATCTATGCATGATAAATAAAACCCAAGCTAGATATAGCATAATAATATTGCAGCACAATATCTCATGTGCCAAAGAAAAAAATTTGCAACTGCATCTTGCCAAGTGTCTGGTAGCATGGATACAGAGACCCATAAGGCAACACTACAATCCACCTACTGAGCTTACTCGACCAAGAATTCTTGCAACTACAGGAATCAACCCCTCGGTGTCTGTTCCACCTTCCATTCCGCTAGGCCTAGCTGTATGCACATTGCCAAGAGGAGCATGCGTTATTGGGTGCACACCTGCATGCGCTGCCCTCAATGCGTTCTCCCCATTCCCCGTCTTCTCATGAACTCCACAACCACTCAGCACCATAGTGTCTGCCTCCAAAACAGCTTCGCCGCCTGCCTCCGCGCGTTTCTCTGCGAGCCAGGCTGTCAGGTCGTGAACAGTGTCGATGTCCCTCAGGCGCGGCAGCAAATCCAGTGGCGACACGTCAGCCACCCCGTTGGTGTGGAGAGCTGAGAGTGACTGCTGCAACACCCTGTCCGGGCTCCACTCTATTCCCTGAAGGAATATGGGGGATGCGAGACGGGGGGGGGTGGGAGAGAAGGGAAGAGCCACGATGTGGGGTATTGAACTGTGTCGATGCTCCTAAGGCGTGGGAGGCAGCTATCCTGTTGGTGTGGAGTGCGGTGCAGTGAGCTACTGCTGCAGCACCCTGGCCGTGCTCCACTCTATGCAATGATGGGGTTGGCGGTGTGAAAGAGGGGGGAGGGAGGATGGCGGGGGAAGGAGTGGCAGCGAGAGATTGGCGTGAGGATTGGAAGGACAGTGAAGAACAAGGGAAGTCGGTGTGCGACTGTTGCAGCAACCTATTTCTCAAAAATGGCACAAGCACCCTAGTCCATGCCCCACTTTATGCCCTGATGGTGTGGAAGGGGGATGAGCACAAGGGTAAAGAGGGAGGATGGCAGGAGGAAGAGCGGTGAGGAGAAATCGGAGTGGGGAAGGAGGGGGAGGAGCAAGAGAATGTGATTAAGAAGGATGCAGATGAGAGATCGGATACTGATACGCATATGCATACATGTATGGAATGAGCACGTGCAAGTATGGAATGAGCACATGCATGTATGGAATGAGCACGTGCATGTATGGAATGAGCACGTGCATGTATGGAATGAGCACGTGCATGTATGGAATGAGCACGTGCATGCATGGAATGAGCACGTGCAAGTATGGAATGAGAACGTGCATGTATGGAATGAGCACGTGCATGTATGGAATGAGCACGTGCATGTATAGAATGAGCACGTGCATGTATGGAATGAGCACGTGCATGTACGGAATGAGCACGTGCATGTATGGAATGAGCACGTGCTGCACTTGGAATGACCACACCACACATGGTGACATGCCATCACATACATGGTCACATGCCCCACACACATGGTCACATGCCCCACACACATGGTCACATGCCCAACACACATAATCACACGCCCCACATGTATGGAAGAGGCAAGGCAGCACTGTGGTGTGCCCACGGAGGCAGTACCCACCATCCAGACACATGCACATACAAGACAACACACCCTCTTGGTCGCATTCCCCTCACACACACATGGGATGAGATGAGCACACTACATGTGATGGCATGCCTCTCTCACATACGTACATGGAAGAGGCACGGCAGCACTGCAGTGAGGCCAAGGAGGTAGTACCCGCCATCCAGGGCCGGGCCAAACACCACCTGCAAGGGAACCCAAGGGGTGCAATGAAACACGAGATTGACTTCACAAACAATCCTGATCATCAGCCACGCGCCTCTGTAATCCTTTCCTGCAAACCCATTCACATCTGCCACACAGCCCACTTCCAGCCAGCCCTGCATATTTGCTACCCCCCTGTCCTCCTCTCACCTGGTGGTGCCTGAGCGACAAAAGAGCAGCGGCCACAGTGGCGCCACTCACATCAGGGATATGTGATCCTCTCACCATCTTACTTCACAAAGTGCCCACACAATTCCCTTGTACCTCCTCTGACATAGTGGTGCCCTTCTTGCCCTCGCCTCCACTCACCTGGTGGTTTCTAAGAGCAGAGAGCGCGGCAGCCACTGTGACCCCATCTACATCAGGGATGTCTGTTCCGATCACCACCACCTGTCACGAGCATGAGGACAGCGAGACAAGCGGAGCACAGTGGAGAGAAGAGAGAGTGAGCAGCAGCAACAGCGGCACCACCCACATCAGGGATGTCTGATCTGATCCTATGGCGGAATGTGGGAGGCAGAGAGAAGAGCGCATGCAGTGGAGAAAGCAGCAACAAAAGACAACGGCTTTTCAAAGGGTGACGGCATGGACAGGTGAGGAGAGGAGAGCAAGGAACACAAGCAAGGATTCGAATTAAGGCCGAGTGAGCACCGGTAAACATGGCAACGACTTTCGTTTAGGTAAAAATGTCGAGGGTGCTTTCTTGTTAACCCTTGTGCAAAGAGTGGAAAACTGGGAACACTGCTGGAAATTCGATAAAAGAGTGCAAGCAGACTGATTTGCTGCTACTTACAGACTTCACAAAACTCATTCTATGGTATCAACATACATTTTTCCCGAACCTCACCCTACAGAAACCCAGTTGTGCTCTCACCCGCTGGTATCCCAGGCCCAACACGTGCTGGAAGGCTGCTTGCATTCGCGCCCCCACGTCTCCCCCCACCTGCATGGGGGTTTAAGGTTCTATGGTTCCAAGGTTCAGGTTTCGGGTTTAGGGCGGTGGAAGGCTGCTTGCATGTGCACACCCACGTCCGCCCACAACTGTATGGGGTTAATATTTGGGTTAGGGTTCTAGGGTTTAAGGTTAAAGTTTCATTTTTAGGGAGGTGGAAGGCTGCTTGCATGTGCACACCCACGTCCGCCCACAACTGTATGGGGTTAATATTTGGGTTAGGGTTCTAGGGTTTAAGGTTAAAGTTTCATTTTTAGGGAGGTGGAAGGCTGCTTGCATGCGTGGTGCCCCACGTCTCCCCCTACCTGCATGGATGGTGGCAAGGGAGCGATCGATGCATGCATGGAATGGACCATGGCATATGGGCGGCATGCGTGCCTGCGTAGCATGTGGGAATGATGGTTAGGAGTGTGAGCACGGGATGTGAGCATGGGGTGTGAGATTAATTATGGGCACTGGGTGTGAGCATGGGGAGAAATTGCAGAGCTGATATGAGGTGGAGAGCTCACCTGAGGCACAAAGCGGAGGGAGGTGGAGGAAGGCAGCAGCTGCTGCATCCACCGTCGGATCTCGCCTTCATCCGACGGCTCAGAGAAGAAGATGAAGACATGCGTGGATGCGTGCCTGCCTGCCACACCACAGCACCGGCTGATCATGATGAACATCACAGCCGTGACTGATCAAACTGAAGACCACAGCTACCTAGGGCACCGCAATGGTCGCATTGAGCATGGCATGAGCTACGAGATTGCGGCAGCATCATCGTCAGACATGCAATCTCTGCGACCATAAATGTATCTGAGCCACTTGAGAATTCTAACAAAGACTCAGCTGGACGTCACGCTAATAGCCCCGTACTCGCCAGAAGCCCTGCGCCTCGCTATAGTCACGTACAGCTCGGGGCAGCGCTCGATATTGGCGAAGACGTGTCCGCAGCACGCGTGGTAAAAGGCGACCTTTGAGTCGACTTGACAGTCACCTCGCTATAGTCACGTACAGGTCGGGGCAGCGCGCGATATTGGTGACGACGTGCTCGCAGCACGCGCGGTAGAAGTCGCACGCCGCGTCCGCCCCCACGCCGGCCGCCAGGCGCGTCTTCACGCGCCCCGGCGCTGGTCGCTTCACGAAAATCATCACCGCCTGCTGCGCGCCGAGCGGCTCCCGCGCTTCACTCCGCGCCTCTTCCGCTTCGCTCGCACTCACTTTAGGGTCGCTCATTCTGGCGTCGCACACTCCCGTCGCTTATTCGTTCAGGCTCGCTCAACAAGAACGAGGAGACTGAGGCTACTGAGAGAACGACGGTGTCTGAGTCCTGAAACGACGATGGCGATTGCCTCGCTGCGGGTGCGGCAGTCACGCGGTGCGGGTGAACAGCGAGAATGATCGAGAGACGGACAGCTCAGCTGAGCGTGTCGAACGGACGCGCCTGCGCTTTGCGATGTGGCGGCAAGTTTTAAACAGGGTGACTGGTCAACGGCCGTGAAGGGGGAAGAGAGGGGAAGAAGGAAGCAATGGTTGACCAGCAAAGAGAAAGTCTCTTTCACGTTTTAAATTATGATTCAGTGAGGTGCTTTACGTTCTACAACTTTCACAGATCATCAAATGGGAGAGTATTGCAGCCCCTTCTGCATTCGCTTGGCGTTTCCCTGTTGGCTTGCGGAGGCATTTGGTTCAATCGCCTATCTCGCGATGTTCTCGAAGCAGCTCGTTCACCAATAGGCTTCGAGTTCCTCCTAGTTGTCCAATGAGATCCTGGCTCTGGAACACCGACCATCCTACTTCCGGAGAATCACATTGACGACAGCACGCAAACGTCGCGAACGCAGGCGAAAGAGGGGGGATCCGTTGGCGGGAGGATTACCACACAACCAGATCTCCGCTGCAGCAGCGGCGTAGGAAAATCCTCAGCAACAATCCAATACATTTGCTGAATCTGTAGCTTACCTGCTCTAGTTGCTAGCTTCAGATCAGAAAAGTCTAGTGAAGCGGAGATTCACATATTCCTTGTGTTATTTCGCCACGTCGTAGTGCTTCGAGCACAGATCACGACAAGGTAGTTGGCGCATACTATCGCATACTGTCGCCTACGGTCGCACACTATCGGATACCATCCGCCATTCGCCATGAGCGAGAGCAGCGCAGCGACGGCCACGGCGACAGTGGCAGGCGTCAGCTTGGAGCAACGCCGGGCAGCGGCCGACGCAACGCAGCCGTCCGTCGCGCCGGACGCCGGCAACGCGAAAGATACCGACGCGCTGAAGGACAAGGCGAAGCCACGTGGCGCGTCGCCGCGAAGGCGGTCCGGATGGCTCGTGCTGGTACTCGTGGTTCTGGTGGCGGCAGCGGCGGGCGCGGGTTATTATTTGAGGCGGGAATACAGCGAGTATATCGCGATCGACGACGACGGGGAAACCGAGAGTGACGGCGAAGCGCCTCCGGCTGAGAAGGCCGGGACGCGGTCGAACCCGCGGAAAGCCCAATGGCAAGCCGATGTGAGTCGCTGCGTTCGTCGCTGGATGCGTCGCGGATGCGCGTCGTCTGTCGTTGCGTACGCCGCAAGGCTGGTGACAAGTGCCTGCGATCCGTTATTGCCAACCCATCCATTCTCGTAGTATCTGCGTCTCATCGTGTTCTTCGTGCCTATATACTCCAACGGTTAACTCGGGTGTACATCCTCTGCGCGCGCGTCTCATACTTGACGCACTCACGCACACACACACACACACACACACACACAAACACACACACACACACACACACACACACACACACACACACACACACACACACACACGCACGCACGCACGCACGCACGCACGCACGCACACGCAATCACACACGCACACGCAAACGCACACTTACATTTTGCTTAGTCAGCTTACCCAATGCACGGGGTTTTTTCACCCCCATCCGCCGCTTCCCATCTGCGCGCTTGCATCCCATGCCTCACTTTCTCGATTGTCACTGGCTCGATTGTGACTGTCGCGCTAGTGACTGTATCGAGTGTAACAGACGCTGTGGAGCGCGGAGGAGCTGGCCAAGTACAACGGGTCGACGAAGGGCCTTCCGCTGCTTTCCATACCCATCCTCTGTTTCCCATGCCCATGCCCTGCACCCTCGCATGCCATGCCTCACTGTCCCCATCGTGAATGTCTCGTTTGTGGCTGTCTCGTTTATAACAGAACCTGTGGAGCGTGGAAGAGCTGGCCAAGTACAACGGGTCAACGAAGGGCCTTCCCCTTCTTCTCATGCCCATACTCTGCCTGCTCGCATGTCATGCCTCACGTGTTGCTTGTGACTGTATCGAGTACAACAGAAGCTGTGGAGCGCGGAGGAGCTGGCCAAGTACAACGGATCGACAAAGGGCCTTCCGCTGCTGCTGGGCATTCTGGGGTGAGTGGGGCGTGGGCAGGCAAGGGTGAGTGGCGCGTGGGCAGTCTTTAGGTTGAGTGAAGAGTGGAAGTTGGTTGAATGCCCACTATGAGGTTTGAAAATGGGTGCTGCTGGTGTTAGTGCAGGTCACATGCTGCCGCTATGCCCCATGCCTCTTGCTCCATGCACCATGCCCCATGCCCCAAGCAGCATGCCCCATGCCCCATGCACCATGCCCCATGCCCCATGCCCCATGCCCTATGCACCATGCACACACCATGCTCCATGCCCCATGCCCTATGCACCATGCACACACCATGCCCCATACCCTGTGCCCCCCGTGCCCTGTACCCCATACCCCATATCCCATACCCCATATCCCATACCCCATGCCCCATACCCCATATCACATACCCCATATCCCATACCCCATACCCCATACCCCATATCCCGTACCCCATGCCCCATACCCCATATCCCATACCCCATATCCCATACCCCATATCCCATACCCCATACCCCATACCCCATATCCCATACCCCATGCCCCATACCCCATATCCCATACGCCATATCCCATACCCCATATCCCATACCCCATATCCCATACCCCATATCCCATACCCCATATCCCATACCCCATATCCCATACCCCATATCCCATACCCCATGCCCCATACCCCATATCCCATACCCCATGCCCCATACCCCATATCCCATACCCCATGCCCCATACCCCATATCCCATAACCCATGCCCGAACGGGTTTGACATGACCAAGGGCGAAAAATACCGCGCCTCATTTCTGCTGCTCCATGCCCCAAGTTCCATACCCATAATACCCCATGCCCCGTATTCCATACCCATAATACCCCATGCCCCATATTTCATACCCATAGTTACCCATGCCCCATATTCCATACCCATAATACCCCATGCCCATACCTGCAGGGACGTGTTCGACGTGACCAAGGGCAGGAAGCACTACGGCAAGGGGCAGGGGTACAATCACTTCGCTGGCAGGTCAGAGCCCCAGGGTGCCACGTTAGAGCTTCAAGGTGCCAGGTCAGCCAGGCTCAGTGTCCCAAGCCAGCAGGTCAGCTCCTCAGGGTGCCATGTCAGCCTTAGGGTGCCAGGTCAGAAACTCACGTTGCCAGGCCAGAGCTCGAGAACAACTTCAAAGCGGCTGTGTCATGAAGGCCAGAACGCTGTGAGCCGCGAATGGATTTTCAGGCATTCGTGCGGTCTGCATATGACCAGACGACACCCCACAGAGCTCAGCAATTCAGCTCGCCTTTTGAAGCGCCACAAAACACGCCTGGCCAGGTTGACGAGTGTCGAGATGCTCCTGACACGCCTGCTGCGGTGCTTCAGTTATCATTTCCGATGTGGGTTATCTGTGTTTCTAGACACTCTACAGCTGCTTAATTAATGCTGGTCGATAGGGTGTGCTTAGGGCAACAAACTCACTTCCTTGATGTGTCGAGAGTTTGCCTTGTATGCATCCCAGAGTGTAGTGCTCGGAGGGTTCAATTCAATTCAAGATGGATTCAATCGAACCCATCTCTGAGCGTGCAAGCTCGTGCGTTGCTCCTTTGCCATGCCATCGGCTGTCTCGCACTCACTCCTTTCCACACCTCTCTCACGCCTCGCCCTTTTCTTCATTAATCACATCCCCTCTCACAGGGATGCCACAAGGGCATTTGTCTCGGGCAACTTCTCAGGTATGACGGACCATGCCGTGCTATGCCATGCCATGCCATGCCATGCCATGCCATGCCATGCCATACCACACCACGTCAATACCATAGCATACAATACCATTCCATCACATACCGTAGCATATCATACCATATTGCATCATACCCTACCATACCATACCATGACAAACTATGCGATGCCATAGCATGACATGCATGCATGTGTGGTAAGCCGCTGTCCTATTCAAATTGAGCTCCTTTGTCCATGTCTGACCATCCAACATCCACCAGCACCGCTTGCCACCGCATGGCACCACAGGTACACCCTCCCTTTCCCCCGCTCTCCCTACCTGTTCAATCCCTTCCCGCCCCTTTCCATCCCTCTCCATCCTACAGGTGACGGCTTAACGGACGACCTGACAGGGCTGTCAGGAGAGCAGTGCATTGGCATTGCAGACTGGCGCGACTTTTACTTCAAGACCTACATGTGAGACGGAACCCTGTGCATGAGACGTACATGTGAGACGGAACCCTGTGCATGAGACGTACATGTGAGACGGAACCCTGTGCATGAGACGTACATGTGAGACGGAACCCTGTGCATGAGACGTACATGTGAGACGGAACCCTGTGCATGAGACGTACATGTGAGACGGAACCCTGTGCATGAGACGTACATGTGAGACGGAACCCTGTGCATGAGACGTACATGTGAGACGGAACCCTGTGCATGAGACGTACATGTGAGACGGAACCCTGTGCATGAGACGTACATGTGAGACGGAACCCTGTGCATGAGACGTACATGTGAGTTGCTTCGTGCAAGCAACATTCATGCGAGGAACCCCATGTGCGAGAGATGCATGAGTCTGTGCATGGGGCGCTTGACCCTGCCTGCCTTCACCCTCACCCTTTCTCCTCCGTGGATTGCCCTGCCCTCCTTCCTAGCAGCCACGTGGGGAAGCTGGTGGGTCGATTTTACGACGAGCAGGGGAAGGCGAAGGATGTTCTGGGCGAGTTTGACGAGCTGCTCAAGGAGGGCAAGCGGCAGAGAGACGTGGCCACGGCTGGGAGAGTGCAATAGTCAATCCGTTCTGCATTTATCCGTCAACCTGTGTCTCTCGGCTTACCCTTGCAGCCACGTGG